CTGGAGGGCGAGAGCAGTTCCGATGCTTGGCACTGAGTACAAGCACGGTGACTTCACGCACGCACTCAGAAACATTCAGAAACAGAAATTAAACAGAAAGCCCATCCACAAGAGGCACACAGAGTTCTCACCCCTTTCAAGGTCATTCTGGCTCCCTGACTTATGCGGTGACAATCAAGCCAGGGGACAGGGCTGGCACAGTGCAAGAGTGACTGTGACACACTGGAGTCCAGTCAAGGAGGGCAGGAGGGGCCAGGCACTGCCTCCTCACCACCTGTGTCCAGAGCAGAGGACACCTCCCAGCCAAGAGCACTGTGCGTGCGGTCTGATGAGAGTGTCTCCGGGATCAGTCCCATCACTCCGTGCCATTAAGGCTGGCAGGCCGCCTGGGTGGGCCTAGGCAATCACGTGCACTGCAGAGCGCTGCAGAAGCAGGTGGCTTCCTCCAGCTGACAGGAGACACCATCAGAGATTTGAGGCACCATGCTGGCTTGAAGATGGAGGGGCCATGAGCCAAGAAATGCGGGTAGCCTTAAGCAGCTGAGAGCAGCCCCAGCTGGCAGCTAGCAAGGAACTGGGGACTTGCAAGTGCAAGGAAACAAATCCTGCCAGGAAGGCTGAGAACTGGGACCCTCAAGACTGAGATGCTGGGCCAGAGGCCTGCCAAAGGCCAACGCAAGGGCCCAGCTGTCTCACTAGGATGCACGCTACCACAGAACAGGTGCTTGGGCACTGCTGCTGCTTACTGAGACCACCTGCCCGCCCTGGCTTGGGAGCCTCGCTCCCCTCACAGTGGCCTCGGAAGAGGAGTGGCTTCCCAGAGGACTCTGCTTCAGGAAGGAGAAGGAAGCTGGCCAAAGGCTCAGCACAGGGCCCCTCTCAGCACACGAGCCGTGCTGAGTGCTGGGGAGGCGCAGCTCCACAGTCTCCTGGGCCCTCTTCTGCCACCCAAGTTCTGGCTGCACCATCAAAATCAAGTTCCTGAATCTGAACATCTCAGCTTATTTTTGTAATGACAGCTCTTTTATCCACTCCACAATGAGAAAATCTGATCCTAAATGGCTTCAACTAACCAAGAAACACAAAATACTTCTTTTCCACCAATGCTGACATTACCCCTCCTCCCACAGCCACTCACCAGAAAGACCACAATCCCATCAGAGACCAGAGAGGAGGTCTGAGACTTTCTCTTGAAATACAAATCTTAAAATTATGAAACTTTTTCTTTAACGTCACTTTAAGAAAAACTAAGCCATGGCCAAGTGCCACTTCCAGCAGCACTGCGTTCCCACCAAATGTGCACACCAGCAAGAGCAGCAGGGCCTGCTCGGACCTCTCAGCATGAGCGTTACCCCATTTTTTGCAAAAACTTTCCCCAGCACACGAGAGCCTGCTTCACATCCGTTCCGGCCCCTTAGGGGGACTGGCATGCCCCTCCCCAGTGTCGCTGTTAAGCGCAGGGCCCAGGCTCATCACAGACAGGGTGTGGCCTGAGCAGCTCTCCAGCCAACTCCCTCAGCTGCAACACAGCCAGCAGTGTGGGCCCTGCTCTCGACTTCCCCGTGCAGACTGGCGGCGGTACACTGGGCAGGAACAGGCAACGCGATGATTCAGTGGGTGGAGTGTCTGAGCACGAGCAAATTTCCTCAGTGGTCAGTGCAGCAGGAAATATCTGGGCAGTGCGATCATTCTTGCTTCCCTCGCCAACCTGCCACCTTCAGTGTCAGGATGAACCCAGCAAGCAAGACCCACTTGTGCCACCAGCACACTTCAAGGAGGCCCACATAGCTCTCCTGTCCACCCCCCGATGTCCGTATGGGGGCAAGGAGAGAAAGGCAAGCAGACCAGAGACAGCCCCGCAAGGGCGTTCTGGAGCAGGTCCTGCTGCCCTACTGTGGGTCCTGCAATGCAGGCTGGAGCCCAGCAGCACAGGAAGGATCTGTTGCTCATACTCCTTAGCAACAAGCATGGCACAGCAGGGCTCTGTGGGGTACACTGGCCACATCCAACAAACTGACATGGGACAGCTTCTCAGATGCAGTCAGAGCAGACTCTCTGTGAAGGGCACAGAGGATGGTCATGGCGCCTGTGGAGAGGGAGCTACACACGCTGCCACACCGTAGGCATGCCTGGGGGGCCACACCTACACTTGCCAAGCCCAGATGTGGCGCCAGCTGGGGCACAGGCTACAGACACCTGCCGGGCTGGCCTGCCCTCACCCAACGTACCAGGACAGGTGAGGCCAAGGACCTGAGCTCAGTCACACATCCACCCTCACTCATGCAGGACTTTGCTTCACCTTCAACCTTACTGGGAGGTTCCCAAAGCCACTGGGACTGTCCAGGGTGAAGTAACAGCACCAAAGGATCAAGAGGTCAGGAGTCGGAGGTGTAAACACAGCAGAGTGGAAGGGGCTAGATCTGCTCACATCTCTCGGTCAGCAGTGCAGGTAGAGAGCGCACCTCACACTATGCCCACAACTCCCAAGGTTACAAAGCGTTCAGCTAAAACCAGAACAAGAACCAGAGGCAGTGGCAACTCTCCAACCTGGGAGGCACCAAGCAAAGCAGTAGAAAAACACCCTAGAAAAGGATAAATGGCACAGGCTGCTACATGGGCTTCTACGCAGAGGGCCCAGGGTTCAGGAGGTGCGGCTGGTCCTTTGCTGAGGACTGCCACACTGTCTTCAGAAATGCATGTCCTGGGACCTGAGACGACAAACTTCTCACCAACAGGGTCCTTCACTTCTTTCCCTTCGAGCAACACATGAAAGCCTGGTGCTGCTCTTGCCCAGCACCCTGGGAAAGCCGGTGAACAAGGCAGGTTCCAGACAGGGCTCCTCCTGGACACCCCTTCAGGCTGGTTCACAGAGGACCCACGGGTCACGTGAAATGCTCTATGGTCACCTCCCCTGCTCTCACTGTCTGGGGCTCCATGCTTCTCTGGCTCACTACTTCCCCCTGCCTCCTCTGAAACAGCAGCCAGAGACATGAACCAGGCAGAGCTCACCCCACTCTCAGGCACCTGGCAGGAAAAGCTAGCAAGGCCCCTCCTCTAGGCAGAAACAGCAGCAAGTGGATTCGCCTGAGGTCTCCATCGGGGATGGGGTGCAGGCCACCTGATGCGAGCAGGGAAGGCTCACCCAGCAAAGGAAGAGGATTCAAAGAGCATGACAACAGCTCCTCCCTCCTAGGATGGAGATCAAGCCAGGCCTGGGAGTATCAGAGCCCCTTCTTAAGCCCTGAGCTACCCTGTCTCAGAGCTCAACTGAACAGGTGGGTGGGGCTCACAGAGGGGAGGGAGATGTCCTAGGAGGCTGGGGAGGGGACAGAACCTGATCAAATCCCTGGCAGAGAGCCTCATCCCACTGGCTGTGCTGGGAAAGGGCCCTAGCGTGACCAGAGGGCACCAAGATACCAGCCTGTCTGAGGGCAAAGTGGATGAGAAATGGACACAGTGGGGTGGGATCCGATCAATGACTGATGAGGGGACAGAGGGAGGAGCGAGCCAGGTCTGCACACCTGGACAGCCAGTGTTCATGCATACTGGACAGGCTCAGACGAGCCCAGCGTTTCAGGGTCAAGTGCAGGACTGCATTTCCCACGCCAACCCTGCCCAAGATCCCGCCAAAGCACCTGGCCTGCTGTGGCTCACAGACCAATGAAAAGAACAGGAACACCTCAAGTGAGGCCGTCTGCAAGCCCTGGGGTTACGGAAACTTCACGAGCACAAGCAGCATGCACAGGGCTCAACGTGGACTGCTCATGCAGACGAAAGTACAACTCTGGACCGTCAGAGGCTAAACACAGGTTTGAAGCCTAGACCAGATTTCCGGGTTCTCTCTACTGCAAAGACACACCGAGTCCATTGCGGTTACCTAACACACTGGAAACCTCCAGTCTCCCGCCCCGGTGGTGCCCTGGGTACTCAGACTGTCACACCTCAGGAAGCACCCGCCTCACCACCTGTGTCACAGCACCACGAGGAGAGAGAGGGCAGAGAAGGCTGGGCGCCCCGGCACACTCAGGCCCCCTGGAATTAACAAAGTAACACCGCTGCCCAGCCAGGTGAAACAAGTTGCCGAAGGGCTAAAGCTATGTAACACACATGGTAAACAGTATCAACCAAGGCATTTCCAAGTACTTCAAAGGGGAAATAAACGGACCTGAGGGCAAGGTTTACTGCCAGAAGGAATCCCACGCAGAACCATCGGAAGTGTGCGGAGGACTCTTAATATCTGTGATAACCCTAATGCCCTGGGAAATCCTTCAACCTCATTTAAATCGCAAGAAATTGAGTAAGCAACTGTCATGACTTAAGTCCTGAAATAGGGACACGCAACCTATATGCGATTACTCTATCGCGAAACTCAAGCAAGCAGCAAAGGCAAAGAAGCTGGCTAACGGCGTCACACCTGGGCCGCCTCACCTGGGGCCACTGCGGCCTCCACCCGCCTCCCTGCTTCACTTCTCTTTCCTCCCTGCAGTCTCTGGGACACCCAGCTTGCACAGACCTTCGAAGGCCCTCTGGGCTAATGTGTAAATATTTTAAAATAAAGTTGTATGTACTTATGCTTTAGAAGATGCAATAAACAGGTCTTAATTCGGGGAGTGCTATTAGCCAAGCTTTTAACCAGGGCAAAACAACGTGCTCTACGTTCACTTTTGCCCAGGATTTAAACACATTGTAACCCTACTCCACCCACAAATCGCTTCTCGCTACAGTATCACTGACCGATAAACTGTATCACTCACCTTTTAAAGGGGCCTTCTCCGAGCGAAAAAAAGTTACTGTGTTACCCTCGGCCTCACTGACACTCCTGGCTACACTTAAAATTTCCTGCAGTTGGGTCGACGCGAAACCACACCCAGGCGCGCCTCCCTGTGACAAGGGGTCCCTAACTTTCCTGGCGGGGGCCGGGAGCGTGCCCGGTGCCCTTCCCGGTCCCAGGAGGAGGAAGGAGGCTTGCAGGGAGTCAGGCCCCCGCCCGGCGCACTCACCCCTGGATGCCCGGGCTGTACGCGCGGCTCTTCCACGGCGTGCCGGGCCGCGGCGCCTGGGCCCCGGGGCCCCCGCCG